GCCCGACAAGCAGGGCATGGGATGTGGTGTTGGGCCTCCATCTTAAGGTAGGCACAGAGACTCTTGGCCCTCAGCAGAAACTCTGACAGGTGAAAAGCACCAGGCTGGAACTGGACAATGATGAGAAGCCTGGAGGGCAGTACCCCGCCCACTAAGGTGGTCCCAGTCACCAGCCAGAGGGAAGGGAGTGTTGTGGTTTAATTCAAAAATGTCCTCCTCAAAGCTTGGCATGTGTGGAAGGTGATTGGGTCATGGGGCACTGCCGTCATTGGTGTCCTGACTTGTTGCTCTGTCATCAGTTTCTTCTGCCAGAATGTGGAAGTTGGGCTCCACAAGAAAGGGATGGGAGACACGGGAATCGATCCCAGAATGCTGGTGCTCAGACAAGGAAAGTGATGGGGGCAAGTGATGTAATAAATGCTAAAAAAAAGTTAGCCAATGAGACCACCTGTCCCTCTGAAGGGTCAGGACGGCCCACCGACCCTCCTTATGTATGGGCTGTGCTTCCAACTGCTGTGGGCAGGAGGCTCCAGCATCCCAGGAAACCCTGCTCTGGGTCCCTGAGGATGAGGACCCAGAAACAGGGCTCTGGCTTCAAGCACAGAACATCACCGTCTATCTCTGCACATGGATCTCTGAAGAAAAGGCCACATAGCCAAGAGGAAGACCAAGGAGTCAGGCTGAGTCTGAAATACAGTGTGACCTCAACGAAGTCTCAGCACATCTCTGAGCCTTCTCCTGCATATAGCAGGAACAGCACTGCTTGAGAGCTTTTGTGAGGAAGAACAGAAATGAAAATGCTAGTGACATGTTCTTGATACACATCACCATGTCTGCATGACCACTCCAGGGGAAAGGATTTTTCATGGATTTCATTCAGTGCCATCAGGATCTGATCTAAACTGGAGAATCTGCAATCCTGTGTCGAGGAGTGAGGGCTGCAGCCCCCCCCCCCTGGGGTCTGGAGGCTCAAGGACTAGAAGACTCTGAGCAAAGTTGTTCACAGGTCCTTCTGGAGATGGCCTGTGCTTTACCTGCGCCTGGCCAGACACCCAGACTCAAGTACAACACACCCTTGGGAGGTCAGTGTGGTCTGCGAACAGTTGTGTTTGTCCATGAGGGTGAGGGTTCAGTGGGTAGCACTGGCAACAGACAGCCTCCCAAGGCCCATCTGCAGCTCACAGAGGACACAGCTCATGGAGCCTGTGGGCAGGGGATTATCCTACAGACAGGAACAGAGGAGCAGGTCTGGGAGCATGACAAGGGCCCTGTGATGGTTATTCTTGATCACCAACTTGATTAGTCTGAGAAAAGCCTAGAAAGTTGGTATGTCTAGGAGTGACATGTGGAATGGCAAACTGAGTGGGGAGATCAACCCTGAATGGGGGGGCACTGCCCAAGAGGCTGGGGCACAGAATGAACCAAAGAAGAGAGCTGGGTGTGATAATGCACCTTTGATCCCAGTTGTTTGGGAGCCTGAGGCAAAAAGATTATGAGTTTAGGGACAACCTGGACAATCTAGTTGAGATTGAATTTAGACTCAATTCCTACTCCTGTTTAAAAATACTGAAGAAGTTTTCCTAGGACCTGGTACAAACTGTGCAAGTCCCAGGAGGAGAACAAGCGGAATTCATCTTTCCTATGAGTCGGCAGAAGCCATGCTGGGTCTGGGAGAAGAAGCTAATTCACCCTTCCCATGGGCCAACTGGCACTCGGGCTGGTAGACCAGAACTCCACTCCACCCCTGGGTAAGCAACCGGCTGATTCAGAGGACAGGCAGAGTGGATAGAACCTGAGGTACAACACAGCTTGATGTTTCTGTTGTTTGGCTGACCTTGCAGGCCTGAGGTTGGTAATCTGGGCATCTATTGAGAAGATAGCAGTGCAGCAAATATGGGATTTCCTTCTGTTCTGCTTTTGAAATCCAATATTGTTCTATTTGTTTTATTCAATGTTTGGACTGGTTCCACTCTGTTTTGTTGTGTTTAATTTTATGTCTGATAGTATAGACAACAATTTTGAAGATAGCAGGAGGCATTATGGTAGGCATTGTTGATTTCCTGTTGTCTTATTTGGGAGTCTTGTTATCACTTTCATGGTTTTGTCTTGATTGGCTTTTTCTGCTTTGGTTTGTATGATCTTATTCTCTTTAAAGTATGCTTTCACTCTTTTGTTTTGATTGGTTTTGATTTTGTTATGTCTGATGATATGGACAGCTATTTTGAAGAAAACAAGACATTATGGTGACCATTGTTATTTTCCTATTATTGTTTTAAGGTCCTGTATTGCTTTCAGTGTTCTGTTCTGGTTGGCTTTATTCTCTTTTGTTTTGATTCATTCTCTTTAAAATCAAAAATTTTAAAAACTGAAGAGTAAGTCCATAAACCCAGCACTCTCCTTCCCACTGTTTCCCAGCTGCCATGAGGTAAGCAGCTTGTCTGTGCCGTGCCCCCTGCCGTGATGTTCTGCCTTACCTGAGACCAAGCTGACCCCATCCTCGATAGAACCAAGCTCAGCTCTCCTGTCTGGAGTTGGGTTTACCAACTAGATTTGAAAAAAAAAAAAAAAAAAAACATATGCTTCCCCCACATACACATGGAGGAAAGTGACCTCCACTTCAATTAGGTGAAGTCTGACAAGAGGGTGGTGAAATTCTGGGGTCTTGGTACTGGTCCCCACCTGCAGGGGCCACCTGGCTCTTCCCAGGACACTGAGGACAGTGGTGATCATGCATGGCAGTGTGCAGGTCTCCTAGTGACACACCCTGCAACTGTACTGGGTTGCACCTCTCCTCCCCACCCTGAAAGCATGCACAGGGGCTGTCCCTAGAACAGGGCTTCGGGTAACTCACCGGCTCCCAACGCCTGGCCTTCCCCTAGCACACGTCCTTGTTACTGCCAGGTACTCCAGAACTGCTGTCTGGGGGGCTTGGTTCTGAAGCATCTTCTCCCCAGCAATTATTTCTGCTCCTTTACGCTAATAACACTGCTCCAGTGGCTGCCTGCTCTGAGGCAAGTGATTCCAGTTGCACAGCTGTGGAATTGAGTTTCTAAGCTTGCTCTAAGACTCATAGCAGCAGCCCTCAATATAAAGAGGCTTCAGAAGACCCAGTCTCCAGGATTCAGAACACAACCTGCTTTCTGTAGCTTTGTGGGAGCAGACAGAGGAGTCAGGCCAGCCCCATAATGATACTATAAGGTGCAAGGAACAGGAGAAAATGGGGTTGAGGCAAGGAGGGAATGTCTCCGAGTAGGGGGCAGGGCCACCACACTCCTGCCCTGTGTGGCTCCTGGGGTGTGTGTGTGTGTGTGTGCCAAGAGGCCCTGCACCTCCAGCTTGTAGGATCTGGAAGCTATCAGAGACCAGGTTCAGGTCCCTGCTACATTCTCTGAGTCTGGTTGCTCCTCAGCAGGAGGAAGGGGAAACCCAGACAGCTGGAGAAGCCCAGCAGGACTGTTTCTGCCATCCATGGCACAGGTCCCAAGGCAGAAATGAGCTATGTTGCTTTTTGCTTCCTGAGTTACCATCATCAGTGTTTTCATGGCAGCACTGGGTTGGTCTGACTCATCACCATGTGCCTGGATTTAGCAAAAGGCTCAGCACATAGTAGGTGCAGGATGCAGCCTCCTCACCCACGCTAAGTGCCAAGCAGGTGCCATCACTCATGGAGGAAGGACAGACCTCTATCTTCAAGGTCCCTCGAAATGCAGACATGCGGTCAGCAGGGAGAGTGGGGAAAGCGTGTCAGCGTTAAGGGCTGGCCTTGCTGCTGAAGGGAGAAAGAGAACAAAGTCCAACCACCACGAGTCACAAGCAGGTGGTTCACTCCTCTCACACATCACACATTCTCTCACAAAAAGGACTCCTGGCGTGACCTCAGTCAGCAGCTGTTTCCCTTCTCTGAGCAGCAGGATCTGGGGAGCTGCTGGGGAGCCAGCAACCCAAAGCCTGCTTCTCTCCAGGGCCCCCAGTCAGGGTGGTCAGAACTCCTCTGGGCATTGCATGGTTTCTGGATCCCTTGCTACAAAGCCAATACATTTCTATTCAGAATGACCTGTACAGCTGCCCTCACCCGAGGGACAGAGCTGTGCTGCAGGTGGCGGTGATGCTATGCAGAACTGGTTGGCCAAGCTCAGGGGGATCCTTTCCTCCCTGAGCCAGACCAGTGGGGCCTGGTGGAGGGGCTTCCGCCCCAAGCAGGGTGATGGAGCCTAGGGGAAACTCTTTATTCCTAAGCTAGACTGACAGAGCCCACGGCAGCCCTTCCTCCCCAAGCTCAGGCTACAGAGTCTGGAGGGACCTTCTTCCTTAAACTGGGATGAGAGCCCAAGGGGATTCCCCATCCTTGAGCTGGGGCAATGGAGTTCAGGAGGACCCTTCCTCCTTGAGCTGGGGCAATGGCACTCAGGAGGACCCTTCCTCCCTAAGCTGGAGTGGTGGAGCCCAAGCTTGGGAGACCGGGAAAGCCAGGAAGTCAGAAAGCCCAGCCAAGCCTGAGCCACGGTCTTCTCCCTACCTGGCCTTACCTCCAAGATACCCTAAAGAGTTTTAGTCACAAGAGGCAGAAAGGCCTGCCAGGAGGGCCCCAGAGGTGGGATAAATTAGAAATGTGGGTGACGTGTTTTCTTCAAGGGCAATGGCCTCTGACCTCTCAAGAGTACAGCAAGGAAATGGCTGGGTTCAGGTCTAGCTTTTCAGCTGCTCAAAGAAATAAAAGGGCTCTGGGTCTTGCCTGGGAGAGAAGCCAAGACATGGAGAAGCTGGGCAGGTGGGCAGAGGACCTAGCCACAACCGAAGACCCTAGGGCTGCCCACTCTGCCACACCGGGCCATCCTGCCTGGGCCTTCACTGGCAGCTTGTACAGACACAGCACAGATTGGGGGGGGAGTACCCTGAAGCCCCTCTTGTCAGTGTGTGTGACCCTAGACATTTGGTTCTTAAGGAGGGGTCTGTGGTAGAGGATCATAGGGTGGGAGCCACAGGAGGCCACAACCTCAGGGTCTAAATTAACAATATTTATTTCTCATACATTCAACAAACATTCAGGCTACTGACTCTGCTGGGTCCTGAGCAGGGTCCTAGGGACAGAGCAGCGATACCTTGGAGCTGGTCATAGGCAGGGCCAGTGTTGGCTGCCAGCACAGAACCTGGTGGCTTGAACCTGCTAAGTGTTTGTTGAACACATGACACAGGTCATTGGGAAGCCCAGACAGGCTGGGCAAGTAGGATGGGTCCTGTGGTCAGGACAGTAAGGGCCTCAGGCCCACCAGGAAGCACCTCAGTTGTCACATTCCTGGCACTTCCAGCTGACAGCAGCAGACCCAGAGACCAGGGTGCCCTGACAATTCAAGGACCTCCTCCAGCAAGTAGGCAGAGCTGCTGGCCTTAACAACTCTCTGGCATGAGGCCTAGAGCCCCTGGCATCTTGGGGCCACTGCCCAAGGTCAGCCCAAACCTCCTGGATGCATATGTCTCTGTCCAGGGTCCAGTGGCCCAGCCCTAGCCCAAAAGCAGGTTAAGGCCTGGCAGGGCTGGGGAAGGGGCATGCAGCAGGAGGTGGTCTTGGCCTACATGTCCAGAGGGAGCCACAGGTCTACAGGCCCTGAGCAGGAGCACTGGAGTCAGTCAACGAGGAGTCACAGCGCAGCCGTCAGCGGGTCCGCTTGCTGTCCAGAATGGCCATCCAGTCATCCGCCCACGAGTGCAGCCGGCGGCGTGAGGGAGGCAGCCACACATGCTGGTTGTGGCAGGATGTGAAGAGGACATGCTCCCAGCTGGGGTGTGGCTCAGCCCCTGCAGCAGGAAAGCAGCACTTCAGTCCAGGAACCCTGAGCCTGGGCACTGGCATTACGTACTGCTGGAGTGTTTCCTTAATCTGGAAGGTGGTGCTTGTGAAAGCACCTTTGCTGGGGCATGAAGATTAGATGAGGCACTGCACCATCACAGCTGGATGTAGCATGTAGTCCATGTGCTCAACACTGATGCTGGGGTCCTTACCAACCCTGTGGAGGGAGGGTCCGAGGAGAGCTGCATGCCTGGCCACCCAGCACTGCTCCAGGCGGGAACACTAGGTCACAGCAGCCATGCAGCTCACCAGCATCGACCCCAGGTTCCCTGGGCTCCCAAGCTTCAATCCCTCTCCTGGCCCCACTGGCAATGCTGGTCGGAAATGCCCCTCTGGCTTCCTCCACATAGGCCTCTCCTTGCTTCCTGTGGTTGGAGGCAGGAGCCCACCAGGCCCCATGGGCAACGGTAGCCCTGAGTTCCTCTGGGAGATCATGGGGCTTGGAGGGGCTGGCCCTGCCCCTGAGCACATATGTGGGCCCTGTGAACCCCACCCTCTAGGCACAGAGAATGTATTTCCCCACTAAGTATCCAAGAGAAGAGACTAACCTGCAGCTACCAGAGACTCCAGGAGGAGAGAGCTGCCTGCAGACGCTATAAAACAGGCAGAACTGAGACAGGAGACAAGGAAACTAAGTATGGATGCAGACAGATTCTACTGCGCCTGAAGCTCTCCTACCCTGCCCTCTCAGCTAAATGGTCCCCTCTTCTTTCTTTTCCATTTTTAAATTTTATTTATTGAGACAGGGTTTCACTATGTAGTTCAAGCTGGCCTTGAACATACTATGTGGCCCAGGCTGACCTCAAACTCATGGCTATACCCAGCCCCCCCTCCCCGAGTGCTAGGACTACAAGTGTACACTACCACACCCAGCTATGCCCTCTCCTTTTATTGGCTAGTCGGTGACTGGTTGGCTGGTTAGTTGTTTTGGGAGGATGTCATCTGTAAGAAACAGGGACAAACATAACACTCAAACCACCTTAAAACAAAGAAACTATGCAGTGCTTCCCTGTTGTATGCTAGGCGCAGTCCAAACTGTCTCCAAGCAAATGGGTGAAGTGGGAGTGGGGTGGGGAAGGGTTTGTTGCTAAGAGCAAAGATCTGAAATTCACAGTCAAGTCCTCCTTTTACATGAAGAAGGCAAGGCCCAGGAGTGTGAAGTGATCACTGGAGGGCACTTAGCAAGTGAAGCCTAAAGCTGGGTCCTGAACTTCCTGACTCCAGTAGTTTCCCACCCACCCCAAGCCACATGCTGAAAGAACCTTGTCTCCCTGGTAGGAGACTCAGTGCCAGCTCCAGCCTGGACACCTGACAAGACCTGGTGACACAACGGACAGCCAGGGACAAGGAAGCTGCAGAGGAGTAGCCACTCTGGGAAAAGAGAGCATGGGACCCTGGGCCTGCTTCACCCACACCTCCCCTGCCGCAAGCCACTTGCCTATAATGTCCAGCCGGTCATCTATGAGAAGGTCAGCAGACACTACAGTCTTGTCTCTGGTCAGCACAATCTGCTCCAGAAAGTCAGGGCCAAAGTGCTTCTCCACCCAGGCATACTGAAGTGAACAGGAAGATGAGAAGAGTGACATCAGAGAAGTGGGGAACAGCTAGGTGCTCCCAGTGCCAGAGCACTGATGAAGGACAGGTATCACCTAGAAAGCTCATGCCCAGGGAGAGCATGTCCCATGTCCATGTCCTGTAGCTAGAAGGCTACAGGATCATGACTCAGACCCACGCCTGGTGTCTCTAGGGCAACACAGTAGGCCCTCAGTGTACAGTCTCAGTGGGTCAGCCACATCAGCCACCACTATGCCCACAGGCTCCTTTCTTCTTGATGTGCAAGCAGCACAGAAAGAGCTCTGCCCTCAGAGCTCAATGCTAGAAGGGTCATCGGTCATAGGCATGTTTAGACTGCTCATGGCAGAACGCTGAGACAGACCACAGAGGAACAATTAGGGGCAGGAAAAAGCCACTGGACTCCAAACTCCACACCAGTGCAAGGGACAAACACTTTCTATAGCCAGTACTCCAAGGCTGTAGGAGATAGACAAGAAATCTGCAAGGTAACAGACACATGGACAGCAGAGGTACTGGAGTGTGATGCTGCCACTAGGGCCTGGCAAATCACTTGTGCCTCATAGCTCCTGGGCACTGGGAATCCCTTTCCTTTCCCTGCCCATGTGGCCAGGTGGCTTCCCTCCCCCAGATGGCATTTTTCCTACAGAGGCAGACCTGCAATGACCTGCTGGTCCTCTATTCTGAAAGCTCTTCCACTATGAAGCTGCAGGATTCCACCCAGTTCATGAGGTGGCTCAGTGAGGATGGAATTACCACACCATAGGCAGATAGCTGTGGACAGACTGACCCCTGCATTCCCTTCAGGCAGCTGGGAAGCTCTCACTATCATGAGAGCTTATGATACCATGGTGGGGCCTACCATGGTGGGGCCTTGCTCAACAGCTGTCCAATCCATGCTGATGAACAGGGAAAATAACAGTACCTGCCTTACCACTAACTGCAGGGGAAACTGGGAAAATGTGCAAATGTCTCATCAGTGGGCCAGTACAGAGCAAGTGCTCAGGAAAAGATTCTAGCTCTGGGTCTCAGCCCACATCCAAGCCTAACTCCCATCACCCACCACAGTCTGAGAATGGAGGCACTGGACTGTGGGAAGCTGCTGAGCGCCACCCCTGGCCCCTCAAGATGCAGTTTCCTCAGAATGCTGATCCACATCGGGAATTGCTGCACTTTGGATCCTGAATGTCTCCCGAAGACCCATATATTAATAAATCTCAGTCCCCAAAGTGGGGCTAGGAAAGTGGTAGAACCTTTAAGAGACAGGGCCTCACGGGAGGTCTTGGGTCACTGAGGGTACACCCTTGAAGGGAAGGAACAGTGGGAAGTTGGCCCCTTCCTCCTCTCTCTTTTGCTAAGCCCATGGCCTACTATTGGGCATCATCCATAGCTCACAGCCTATTTTTCAGAGCAGTGTTAGGTTCACAGCAAAATTGAACAGAAGGTACAGAGACTCCATTGCGCACTTCCATCTCCACACACGCAAAGCCTTCCCTGCTGTCAATCTCATTCAGTATGCAGCATCAGCAGTGTGCCTGAGGTCAACCCTGGGCGGTACAGGATGATACACCTCAAGGAAGGTTCACAAATAGAGTGAGCGAGGAGGGGTGGTGGGATACCCTCAGCCAGGTTTGCCTTAGAGGGACTCCTCGAGTACAGGATAAGACTGGAACAGGACTATCCACTAGGACTATCGCTGCCTCAGCGTTAGGGAAGTGCTACTCACTAATGACCTAACATGTTGGTTCCGGAAAACACTAGAGATAAAACAGTTTAGCCAGCCAGATGTATGCACACTTATAATCCCACCTACTTAGGAGGCAGAGATGGAAAGATTGTAAGCTCAAGCCCAACCTGGGCAATTTAGCAAGACTCTGCCTCAAAATTTAAAAAAAAAATCCAGGTGTGGTGGCATACACCTGTAATCCCAGCACTTGGGAGGCTGAGGTAGGAGGATCACATGTTTGAAGCCAGTTCCGGCTACAAAGTGGATTCAAGACCAGCCTGAACTGCATAGTGAAACACTGTCTCAAAAAAAAAAAAAAAAAAAAAAAAAAAAGAAAAGAAAAGAAATTTCTGAAAGAAAAAAAGCTGGAGATATAGCTCAATGTGGAGATCTTGAATTTGATCCCTAATACTATAAAATAAAATAATCAAACAATATAGTTCAGCTTAGCAAAGTGTAAAGTTACCTAAGCATAAAATGGCACTGTCGTGGGGCTGGGGGTTTAGCTCAGCGGCATAAGCGCCTGCCTTGCAAGCAGGCAGTCGTGAGTTCGATCCCTGGTACTGATAAAAACAAAAAACACCAAAAAAAAAATGGCACTATCATTTGCAAACCAGAACTGGAAAAAAGTCAAACAAAATCTAAATTACGTGTGTCTAAAGAATTATTGAAGGGATATCTTACTTTTCCCATTGCTAAGATAAAATATCTTACACTCAAAGTTAAAGGAGGAAAGGTTTATTTCAGCTCACAGTTTGTAGAAGTTTCCATTCATAGCTGGCTGGCCCCAAGCCAGGCATGGCGGAGGGGCAGAGGAGAAACAGGCCACCGTGTGCAGAAACAACAAGGCAGCAAAGCAGTGAGGGAGCAGGAGCAGCAGCCCACCTGCCTTCTTTCCAAGCCATTTCCACTCCCAAAACAACCAGTGGACTCATTTAATAATCACACACTCTAGCCTAGCCACCTCTGAAAAGCCCCACCCATGACTGCAGGAAGCTTTGGGGAAACCTCTAAACACCAGGTGTAACATGAGAATCAAGGCCCAGAGCTGTAGGCACCAAGCCCAGGAGTCAAGAGCCCAGTAACCATGAAAATGGAGGAAGGAAGATGCTAGAGAGGACGGTGCCACGGAAGAGCAGAGGCATGGATGGGACAGACAGCCAGGACAGCTGCCAATCCAGGGCCTGGTGCTCCGTAAGCCACATGGTTCCCAGGCGTAGGACCAGACCCAAAGCTCAGAACTGGAGTGTGCTAACTGGCAAGACTGTTGCAGGTGCACAGACCCAAAACCAGAAGTGTTGGGGGTAATGGGGTACAAACCATTTGAAAGACAATACCCCAAAGCCCAGAAGTCTTCAGGATAGATGGCTTGACCCAGGGCCCTTCAAGGTATCAACACTTCTGTCCATCATCCCTATCAGGTGACAAAATGACCAGCTTTAAGCAGACAGCAGGGTTGACATTAGAACATGTACTATCTGCCTGTAGGCCACTCTGCTTTCCTCCCTGAGCTAAAGCCACAAGAGGTCCTTACCAGATGATAACAAGACATCAGCACCTTGGTCTTGGACTTTCAGCCCCTGGAACCATGAGGCAAAATAAATCTCTTTTTTCATAAAATAGTCCCTGCCATCTTGTTACAGCAATAGAAAATGGACTAAGACAACTGAGGTGAATCAAAAACACACCCCGAGCTCCAGGGTAAAGCTACTGGGTGACAGTTGTGTGGTTCACATACCATTCCTAAAAGAATCTATTTTCTCAACATGGCAGAAGAAATCATTGGGCCTTTTAACATAAATGGACCAGAGGTCTCCATATGGGGAATAACTGGACAATTTGGAGTAAAATATGCAAAGAAACTTAACTCATTACCTCTTTGTTTCATTCTTTCTTTCTGGTGTATGTGTGTGAGTATTCCTGAGAATCTAATCCAGAGTCTCTTAGGCAAGCACTGTACCAAACATTTATTGTTAAAACTAAACTAGACTCCACTAACATTTCATTCAGAAATGAGCCTTGAAATCACGAGAACATACTTTGCTTCACACTCCAGCACCTCACTTAATGTGACATGTCATTACTTCCCTTATGGAAAAAGTCAGGCTACAATGTCATGTCTGTGCACAAAAAACTTGCTGTGGGTTTTCAAAAACCTCTCTATGGGACAAAAAGCAAAAATCATTGTAGAAAACTATGTGGGCACCTCTCCTTAAATGCAGAACAATCGCTGCAACATTAGTTAAATTGAGTCTTATTTCCATACACTGATATGTACAAAGCAGGGTACAGCATTTCCTTCTCTCTTCAACTGGCTCTAAGCAATGCAAATAAGACCAGCTGAAGTACTGATACGATCTTAAAGGCCAACCTGACAGTTTCCTGTTTCCTTGCATTATATTCCCTGTCAATTAGTTAAATGCAGCATAATGGCAGAAGAAGTCAGTTCCAGGAATGTCAACCGGGCACGAGCCTCAAAATAAAGGGGCTATGACTCCAAAGGGTACAAAAGTTTACGTATCAGAAACTGAAGCAACAGTGTCGTAAATTCATTCATATGCTATCCCAATGGATTTATACAGTCTGGTCCTTCTGCATATCTCTCTCCTTGCATTTTACAAAGATGCTTTTCTCCCCACCTGGCTAGGCAGCTCAGGCTACTCATGTAGTTCCCACCATCCTCACTCATCCTTGAACCACTCCCTTCTTTACAAGATACTACATTCTGGGAGAGGCTTTGGACCAAGGCCTTTGTCCTTATATCCTCACTTGAATAGGACTTAACTTGGCTGCTCATAACTTTGAATATGTCTTGGTGTCTTTACTTTCACCATGAGTTGCACTGGCAATAGTAGATTGGCGTTAACTCACTGGAATTCCAACAACATATCTATAGGATTACAAATATAACTTTCTGGATTACGAGGTAGATTGGGAAAAGGATTATAATATTTGGATTATAATACATAACAATTGGATTACCATATTATAAACAATTACTATTGGGATTATAATATGGGGCCCCCATAAATCATGCTACTTAAGCTCCAGTCTGGTGGAGCTTGAGTAGAGAGGTGGTGTGGCATAGGGCAGCACTGCATGGGCTCTGACATTTGACTCACTACCCTCATGTTGCTGACCTTGGACAAGCACCTCAATCTCTCCATGCCTCACTTTCCCCATTGTAAAATAGAGATAAAAACAGTCCCCACTCTACAAAGCTATTAGGAAGATCATCACAGGGAAACGCCCTTA